TTGTGGCGGGCGCCTGTAGTCCCAGCTACTTGGGAGGCGGAGGCAGGAGACTCGCTTGAGCCCAGGAGTTGGAGGTTGCTGTGAGCTGTGATGCCATGGCACTCTACCCAGGGGGACAGCTTGAGGCTCAGTCTCAAAAAAAAAAAGATTCTGTAAAATTAACAGGCTCCCCAAATTATCATTACTTACTTTGCATGTTAGACATTTCTGTTTCTTCTTTTGTTATTTTATAAAGCTACTGGGTTCCTTAGGCTAACGTAGGAGATTGGCACAAAAATATAAAGATAATTGGAACACACGCACACACCCACACACACATACACACACACACACACACACACAAACACAGTGTCCATAAAGTTCGTGTGCAACTATTTTAAATTAGACAAGAACTTTGTGGACACCCTGTATATATGTGTGTAGTGTGTATATGTGTGTGTGTGTGTGTGTGTGTGTATCTCTCTCTCTATATAGAGAGGCATTCCAAATCATTTCTGAGAGGATGGATTATTCCAGTGGTTTTCAAAGTATTTCCTGGAGTCTTTGGTAGGTGGGGGGCACAGGTGTGGGGGTAGGGACTGCTGGCTTGTGATGAATTCATATTTGAAACCTCTTTCCATTATATTTTAATGTGCATGGAATGGGCCTTTGATACCTTGGGAATGGGTCTTCTCTTAAGGACCCCTGTCAATGCCCCACAAAGTCAATTATGTATATGCCATGGAATCTTCTATTTGAAAATGCAGGATAGTGGATGCTGTGATGTGCTATCCAGATCCTCCTTCAGGAATGAGGGTTTATTCCTTCTCCTGCTGGGGATTTGGCCAGCTATCGGCTCACTTGGAAAATTTCTCTCAAGTAAAAGACCCACCTTGCTCAAACAGTTCCTCCTTTCAGGGGAGCTCATATGTGACTGATCAATATGGATGTTTGAAGGTCTCACTCCTAATCCCACCTTGGGACCACAAAGAAGGGGCAGTCCAGCTTTGGAATTGTCCACAGGGCTACCTGAGGTCTTTTCCTCCTTCTGTCCTGTCTTCTTCCCTTCCTGCCCCATCCCTTGGTCCTCACAGGTGACGATTCCAAGAGCACTCTTTGTTAGACCTCCTGCTTGCCAATTTCCATCTTAGATTTGGCTTCCCAGGCAACCTGATCTTTGTGACTCAGATCATCCCAACTATACTGCTCCAAACTTGGTGAAATCCATCCAGGCAAGTTCAAGTGATGCAGGGAACTGATAAATAGATAGGAACAGAGGAAGACCCCATCTCTAGAGAAATAAAGAAAAATTAGTCAGGCATGGTGGCACACACCTGTGATCTGACCTACTCAGGAGGCTGAGGCAGGAGGATTGCTTGAGCACAGGAGTTTAAAGCTGTAATGAGCTATGATCCTGCCACTATACTCTAGCCCTGTCACTTAAAAAAAAAGGGAGAGAAAAGAAAAGAAACTGAATTTCATTTGTAGGTTAGGTGGGAGAGATGCGTCTCTCTCACTTGAGACACTTAGTCTGATGTTGGGTGCTAGAGATTAGGCAGACACAGAGGCAGGGAGCCAAGTCATTAAGCAGAGAACATTGCTCACTGATACCCAGCTGAGGGTCAAGGAGACCTGGGCATCTGGAAATTAGATCAAGAGCAAGAAGGTGAATTCCAGAATTAGGTTGATTCAGATGGTTTTGACAAGGAGAAGGAAGAACTTATATTTGAGGTTCTCAGGAAGGTTGCTCATGTCTCAGACAGTAGAAATGAGTACTTGGACTGAGCAGGCAGATGCTGGTGAGAAGGTCCTCCTAGGACCACTAGGGAAAGCCAGCTGAAGGAAAGGGCACAAGGGACAGTGCTTTTGCCTTTTGGTAATTGTTATTCAGTGGTCTGTTTTCAGTGATGTAATTCTTGAGATTAACCTGTCTGCAATCATAAACCAAATATGTGGATTGAATACCTGCTTGGACTTTTGTAAACCAAATAAATACATGGATGAACTTTTATGAGTGGATTGTTTGACCATTTGTGGTGGATAGAATTCTAAACTGGCTCTCCAGATTTGCACCCTCTTGTGTATACACCACATGTAATCTCCTCCCTGTGAGTGAGGGGGGGATTGTGGTTATGATGGGGTTCACTCCTTTGATTAAATAACAGCTATATGGCAAAGATGAGGGGTTATGTGGATGGTGTTGAGGCCCCAAATAAGTTGACTCTGAGTTAATCAAAAGAGAGCTTATCGTGGTTGGGACTGACTAATCAGGGGAGCCCTAAAAAGGGGTGGGGTTTTTACTGGAAGAAGAGATTTGAACTGGGAAGGAGCCCGTGGAGGGTCAGATGTATGAATGCAGCCTCCAGGTCCACGGAGCATGTCCTGGCTGACAGCAAGAACATCAGCACCTTAGTCAGAGAGTTCCAAGAAAATGGCTTTTGCCAACAATCTGAGGGGGTTTTGAAGTGATCTTTCCCCCTCTGAGCCTCCAGATGAGAACACACCCTGCTGACGACCTTGATTTCAGCCTTGCAAGTCCAGTGGAGGACTCAGCTAGAATGTGCCAGCCTCCTGACTTATAACTGTGAGATATTTGTATTGTTTTAAACTTCTCAGTTTGGTAATTCACCTTAGAAATTCCAAGCTTTCTGAACATGCACAGAAATATTGGGCCCCTCTCTTTGAAGGGCTTGCTGTGTTTTAATTTCTCAAAGCCTGTCCTCCATTTCTCCCACCTCAGTGTGCACAGAAAACTGTAGAAGCAGCTCAAAAGGTGGTGAATAAATAAGATGTGGGCCTTAGGAGATTTTGATTATATAATTTTGGGGAAGCACAGAGGTTTAAATTTCCATATTTGATGAATTTTTTTAGTGGGATATTCTGTCTCACATATAATGTTTTAAAATTTCACTTGTCAACCCAAGACCTGTTATTAATATAACTGTTACAAAGGCATATACTTTTTACCCAAGGATCAAAATTACAGTGGCTATAAGTGAACAGCAGGGCTGGCTGGGCTAAGGCCCTGGCGAGGGGTGAGGGGTATGGAGCCCCATCTTGGGGCAGGTGCTACCACCCAGCCTTTTACTTCTGCACAGAAATATAAGCTCAGGGACGTCAGGAATAATTCTTCAAGAGAAGGTGGATTCCGAAATGCAGTCTATGTATTTTATGTTTGGCAACTAATTCACTTTATTTTTTAAAATGTGGTAAAGAAAAAAATTACAGTCCAGAGCAAATAAAACACATTTGCAGGCTGCATCAGGCCCCCTGGCTTCCAGTTAATAGCAATCAATTTTATACATTTCACATATCAAATAAATGGAATATTAGTTTTCTATTGCTGCGTAACAAATCACCAAGCCTAGCAGTTTGAAACTGTTTTAAAACAGTGTAAAAGGGCAAAAAGAAGCCAATGGTTTGTGTTAACCTTTGCCACTGAGTCCTTCAAAGGTGATCTCAGAATCTAATCTTGGCCTGGCTGTTTCCAAAGCAGACAGAGTCTCAGATCGATGAACAATGCATCTTTTTAACAAGATCTATTTGACTAAATGGTGAGAGGCTGCCGAGAGAGGCCTGGCAGCAGTGCCTGTGTCTAGGAGTGTGATACAGACATGCACGTCCCCTGAGGCTGTGATATGCTTTCCCTGAAGCAGGGAATCAGGGCTTCTGTAGAGGCTGTCCCTGTCCCTGTCAGCTGTAGAGGCTTCCTGTGAGGACACCCTCAGGAGCCTGGCCTGTTGCGTCACCAGGCAGGAATCCAGCTTTGTGTACTGTGTTTTTAGCACCTGTCCATGAGTGTTTATACAGTTCACGTATATAGAAAGAGGTTTCTTGGATCCACTGTGGTGATGATAGGTACCTAGGAGCCATCTGCCAGGCAGACCTACTATCACTGGAATTTCAACTGCCCTGACTTGCTTGTATAGTTAATTAAAAAAACAAAGAGAGCAAGCAAACAAACAAAAAAAAGCATATCAAGTTCTGTTTAATCCCCTTATAATATTAAAAAGAGCAGAAATGGAGAAGGCTGGGAATGATGTTACTGATACTTTCCTTTTTTTCCTTTGTTTTTTGTCTTTTCCCCTGAGATGGGGTCTCATTCTGTCACTCGGGCTGGAGTGCCGTGGTGTGATCATAGCCCACAGCAGCTTTTCTTGTGGGCTTCAGCAACTAGCCTGCCTCAGCCTCCTGCGTAGCTGGGACTACACATGTGCATTACCGCACCTGGCTCATTTTTAAAAATTTTGTATTTTGTAGAGTTGAGACCTTGAGATATTTCCCAGGTTGGTGTAGAGCTCCTGGCCTCAAGTGATCCTCCTGCCTCAGTCTTCCAAAGACTGAGGATTAGAGCACAAGCCACTCACTGTGCCTCGACTATACTTTTGTTTTAGAGTAGACCATGCAACCATACTGAGAACGGAATTATCTCTGAGCAACTGTTTAGATACTATTTATCAAATGAAGTGAAATTTATTTTATATTCACCTTGCCCATACTCTGCACCCAACTTTGAGGTTGGTTTAATAAAGCTGGAAGTCCAGCCTTCCAGACCACGGGGCCTTAATATATAGTTAGAAAAGTACCAGGAGAAAGCTCGCTGGCCACATGTGCAAAATCTCCATGGATTCTTTCAGATGTGGAAATTATGTATATTTTATTTGAATGTAGCCCTAAGTGTGTTGTTTTTACATTTCATGATATAAAATAGAATAAAACCCCCATGCTCTGTCAGGGCAACTTGTACTACACCCTGGGGACATACGAATAGTCTTTGCATGGTGCTAACTTGGAGAATTCTTTTTTTTTGGCTGGGTCTAGATTTGAACCTGCCACTCTGGTATATGGGGCTGGCGCCCTACTCCTATCAGCCACAGATGTTGCCCCAGAAAATTCTTAATTATAAAAGGTATTTATTGGAAATTCATGGTGTGGATAATGTGTGATGGGCTCTCTGTTTTCTTGGAGCAGAAGGAAGTTAGTGCCGGTATTTGCCCCTGCGTTCTCCCTCCTTGCCAGGGATGGTGCTGGCTAGGGAACCTGGCCGTCCTCAGCCCTCCCTGACTCAGCCCTGCTTTCTCTCCAGGATGAGAGTCTGTGCTAAATCCGTGTTGCTGTCACACTGGCTCTTTCTGGCCTACGTGTTAATGGTGTGCTGTAAGCTGACATCCGCCTCAAGCCAGCACCTCCGGGGACACGCAGGTAAGCCCTTTAAGCTCATTATGTGCTGCTGAGATCAATTAATAAGGCCCTTCCGAACTTCAGAGGCCACATTTTAGACACAGGTGACGATAAGAGCTTTTGATGGTGTGTAAATAACCAGAGGAAGAATGAAATACGGTGGAGTGAGCAGTTTGATGGTTTGGTGCTTAAGGAGTGTTACCCTGGACATCTTTTAAAGATATTTTCCCGGATTTTGAAAACTTTTCTTTTCCTGACTACACTTCTGTTTTTATAGTGCTTTTTCTAAATAACCAAATAACCAGCAGCACTGTGTGTGTGTATCTGTCCATTTATTCTTCCTTAGAATGTAATATGTTTTTATTAATAATCATCTATTAACACATACAAGAAAAGGGAACTTTCAGATAATTTAAGACTCTTTTGAGAGATGTGGAGAAAAAATGCTGAATGATTTAAAAAAAGAAGAAAGAAAACAGTAAAAAAGCTGTAGTAACTTTTTCATAGGACCTTGCATGGAATGTGTCTCAAGTTTTGAAGGCAGTCATTCTGGTAATTTCTAGTGAAACTCACATCTGTGCATTTTTGATTTTTAAAGGAAAGATTAAAACCATCAACTAAGGAGCAGTTTATTTGTGTGTGTGTGTCTCCCGCTTTCTTTATTACATCTACATTTAAAGTGACATGGAGCTGGAAACGCCCTAGAGAATTGTGTTTTCTTGAATAATTCATATTTGTCTGTGGACTTCTTGCAAAATAATTAATTGACTGTCTCAGCTGTGGTAATTCGAGGCACAGAGGTGCTAGAAATGTTTTGACTTCTTGGAGGAAAGAGTGAAGCACGACCCCTCCGTCGTGTATATGTCAGAATTATAAATTTTCTCTCCAGAACGTTTTGGATATGGAAGTTCATGAGATCTCCTCACCCCAGATATATAACATGTCATGCTTTCTCCTCCATTATTCTCATATCTTAAGGTTAGCTATAATTTTAGGCTCCAGATAATTTTTAAGATTTTTCACAACTCAATTTTCCCTCCTCAAGCAACAGTTTGGAGAGGTGAGAAAAATAATGATTGAAGTTTTAGCAAATCAGCATAAAATCAATAGCATTTGGCTGCTGTGAAGTGTCCACAGCTAGTTGGTTCTTGGCTGTGCATTTTTTAATGAGTTTGTTCACGAGGAGAGAGTTTGAAGTAGTTAATCTTATCTGTTTAACACACATCTCTTTTCTTTTTTTTTTTTTTTTGGAG